TGCACAGTTCGAGAACTTTTTTGGGAAACTTCCCAAAAAATTTTCGGTCCCATACTCCGAAATTTCACGTCACTTATCTAAGATTTTTTTCACAATGATTTGAAGATTAAAGAAATTCATTTTTGGAATGGGTTACAAGTATAAACAAGACCCTAGCACATTTTACAGCCCATGCAGAGGATTGAAGCTGGCTCCGCAAAAATTTCGTGCTAAATAGTGGTTTTCATAGAGTTTCACGTTGTTTTAAACATCTTGCAATATTGAGCGCTGACTTTACTATACTCTAAGTTTATTGAGCACTTGGGCGCCTTTGAGAGCATCGAAAGAAATAGAGAAATGAAAATAATGAAAAAATGAAAGTGGCTGGAAAGGATGAGGGATGAAGCTGGGAAAGGGGCACGATGCGAATGTCGGCCAAACGCAGTTAGCATATGGAATGCGACAGAGTCGAGGATTGCGCAATGGAGTGCGACTGACAGCACTGAATGTGATTACTCAGAAAGAAAAATTACAAACTGCTTATTTCGAATAACGACGTGTTGGATGGCTCGAGAAAGAGAGAAGAGTTATAGGGGATATTTACGGATAAGAACAAGATGTATGGATAACCGCATTTATTATGGAATGGAGCCTACTATTTATGGGCTCTTTGAACCAGACGGTCGGGTTGAGACGGATGTGCTCTTTGAAGAGCTTTTTGGCTATACCATTGCCATGAAAGAATATATGCTCATTAGAATCGCACGTAAAAAGATATGGCCTATGTCTGGGCTATGAATGGACGATGCAACTAAATTCGGACATTGTCTTTCTCTATATCTTCCAACAAGCATGATTCGGTAGCAATGGATACAAAAATAGGAGAGGAGGAAAAAATGCGGCAAAATGAGAAAAAGCAGATCTAAGCAAATCTTGCAATACACTAGGTCTGAGCCCTCCAAGCCAAAATGCACCTGGTTGGGTTGCTCAGACAACTGACCGAAACTTCCACAGCACTTTCATGACTGTGTCCGGGTAAGTCTAGGAGTTGAATTTTTGTTTTTTCATTGTTCTACATGTTATTAACTTGGAAAGCTTGACCTGATGCTAGGATGTAGCTGATGTAATCCATCTGCGTCCGAGATGTCAATTCTAATTTTTCGCCTTCTCTCTTTTTTTCAAAACTCTCGACTACGAATAGAATAAATGAACTATCGCTTTGGCAGTGCCTTAGCTTGGCTTCCCATTAGTTCTCACATCAGAAACCCAATACACAAATCCACATCTATTATTTTGGACCCGCAAGCAAATATTAGGTTGATTCATAATTACTGCAACTATTTACAGGTTTTCTATGACTAAACTTTGAATCAAAATCACTTTTTTCGAAACGATCTTTCTGAGCGCAGTAAAGACTAAAGAATAGAGAAAGTCTTAACAAGAAAGATTTATTGGCATGGAAATTGCCAATAAATTTCTCTGGAAGCCTCTTTTTGGAAGACCATAACTTTCTCCGAAATGCAGTTGGATAACGCGCAAACTGCCTGTCGTACAGCCAGTGGTTGGATATGCAGCGTGCCAAACTCAGATTTTAGGTAAATATTGCTTTTTTAAGGGGAATTATTGGAGAAAGTTTGAAAGTACTCACTTTTTCGGGCGTCTCGGCGGGTTCAAAAAATTGCCTTTTTTTGAAATTGTTCAGTTTTTTTTGCACTGGAATGTGGAAGAACCCTAGCATTTTCATAACATTAAATGTTATGGATTTTATTGCTGTATACTGCGAAAGGTTTGCAATCTCTTTTTGCTTACGATGCACAAAAGGCTCAACGACCACTTAGTCAAAAAAATTCTTAGTCCGAAATTCTGTAGAAAATTTTAGTTGAGGGAGTATGGTGTAATATAAGGCTTCGCAATCGTTATGCACATTTCCTGAAACACTCGATGACTATTCGTGGTTTTAGGACAGAAACGAAAGGAAAAATTTTTGAGATTTAGTTTAATTGACTTTGAGCTGTAAGGCAACGGTCCATATTGAACTCAGCTTTACAAACACATAAGTGGGGACCAAAGGCGCTAATTCAAAATAAATTCTGTTGATAGACTTTGTATACATTCCGATCTATGATGGTTCTTTTTCAAGTTTTCAGATTTGGCCTCTACATGCAAAATAATACGAAAATTTGCAAAAATGCAAAAATTTCAAAATGAATTTGAAAGGGACACCAAAAAAAGGATCATGAGATTTTCACTTGTATGAAGAGGACCTTGTCGCGGCTCGCGCGATGCAAGCCACTCCTCGAAACAGGAGACCGGGAGCGCTGGCTGTCGCGTTACTTGGCGCGTTATCAAGATCGCGCCAAGACCTCTCCTGCTGGGCGCGTTGCCAAGTCTCAGGGTATATAAGGGCGCGTGGGCTGCGGTCTGCGCCTCCTTGAGCTTCGTTCGTTATCGATTTTTTGATGATATCAACCCGCTGGCAGCGCCTCCAGTAGCTCCCGTAGATGATCAACGGTTTCGAGCGGTTGAGCCCTTTGATATTCTTCTTGTGCATGGAGACGCGCAGCTAGGATTGTAGTCTAACCAGCAGCGGAAAGGATTGCGGGAGTGGAGAGGGGTCTCGCTGTCCCGTAAGGGCTAAGGACTTGCGGCTGACCCTTCGGAGAACCCGGAACTACTCGTGTTGGAGTTGATCTTCATCAGGCATCGGCAGCACGGGACGAGGCGGCTCGTCCCGTGCGTATTCTTCTTGTCCTGGAGTAGTAGTAGTAGTCTGAGTAGGGTTTAGTGAATTTTTAGTAGTTTTAGTATTTTTTGTTGTTCTATTAGTTGTTGTTATCTTGTGTAGTTTTAGATAAATGTGATGTAATCTAGTCGTGCGTGTGATGTTCGTGTCGTACGGGTCAGAGGGGTGTAGACGTCGAGCAGACGTGCTAGAGTGCGCGCACTAGCGCCGAAGCGGTAGATCCTGGAGTCAGGAGTTGCGGAGTCAGGCGGACGAGCACTGGGCGAAGTGCTGAGCACACCGAGCCGCAACATGGTGCATCGACGCCGAGCGCATGGTGGATGATGTTTTCCGCCCGCGCATGGAGTTTGCTGTTTCGTTGGTCGTGCAGGATGACATCGAGTTGGACAGTAGGAGTCAGCGTCAGTAGGACGCGCTGTTTCGTCCTCCATGCGTGCGTAACGGACCCGATGTCTACCACGCTCAGCACGCAATAAGAAGATCAGGCACTCAGGAAGACCGCGATGAATACCTACGTAACCGGTAGCAAGGCTGCGGGGCTAGCCAGGGTGCGAAGCACTTCGTGTAAGCGCGGGGGGAAAGTCGGGAAGACTGTGGCAACTTGCCAACTGGAACCCCAATCGATCGAGCGCCCACGTCGTGCAATACCTGGTGAGCCTGCTGTGCTAGGAGGAGCTACTCAGGTGCAGGGCCGGTGTCGTCAATTGGCGGGCTCGACAGGGGGTACCGGAGAGTACCAGCGGCCGCGCAAGTCGAGTCTGGGTAGTTTCAGTTGTTGTGTGAGAGGAGAGTAGAAGGATGAGCAGGATCGCCCAATGGATCGCGGGAACGCACAGGAATACGATTGCAGAAGGCAGAAGATGGACAGAGTGGATTGGAGTCGTTAGATAGGTGCGCACAGAGCTGTATCGTTGTACGTGCATTATGCATTGTATCGTCGAGCACGATTGCGCAGGTCGAGGGGCGCGATCAGAGTTGTATCGGAGTACGCGTATTTCGTACTGTATCGTCGAACGCGAAGGAGCTGTATCGGAGTACGCGCCAAGGAAGTTGGATCGCAGGAAGATCGTGGAGAGTTGGAACGATTGTGCGTGGATAGAAGGGATCGAAGGAGCGCGATTTAGAATTGTATCGTCGCACGCATAAGCAGTATTGTATCGTCGAACGCGCCTTAGTATTGTATCGTCGTACGTGTATATAGAGTTGTATCGTCGAATGCGTTACAGAGTTGTATCGTTGTACGCGCTATCGGAAGGCGATGGGACGAGGATGGAGATGTTGTGAGGGTCGCGCAGAGTCGTATCGGTGGACGCGCGAAGATGGAGTTGTATCGTCGGACGCGTGAGGAAGCGCGAGGGGAGGGGAGCGGCACCGTCCTATACACATAGGAGCTTGGACCAGGACCGGGGAGACGGGAGTAAGTTGTATGTAGTGGGGGTCACATGTTTTATTTAGTATCTAGTATTGCAGTTTTAGTACAGTGTATTATCAATAGAGTATGTCAGTGGGGGCGAAATGGATACGTACTAGGGGCCCTTCCATCCATAGCCTGTTAGTTCTTCTTTCACATCACTTCTTTCTTTTCGCTCTACTGTAGTTTAGTTTTCTCTACAACCGGTATTAGTTTGTCCCCGTAGTCCAACCACCTGTAGTCCGTAGTTAGTGTAGTAGTTTAGTCAGTAATGCAAGATTGGCCCAATTCGGACCCGTAGTGACCTCTATCCCCGGCGTAGTGCTACATGGGGTACCGTAAGGTATAGCCTCTTTGGTGCAATAAGCGCACTTGGGCCCTTGAGGCTTAACCCCTTTAGTTCGCCACTACCCCTAGTATAGGCGGAGAGCAGCCGTGTTAGGAAGTTCGACTTGCCGAGCTGGATGCCGAAAGGATACCATCGAAGGACAGATGACAGAAGGAGACGGCAATTGGAAGGAACACGGTTTATTTCAGGAACTGGTTCAAGTGCCCAAGGGCATCGTTAGATGACCCCTCCGATTCGCCAATAGGAGCCCTCAGTAGTCTCTGGCCGGCCTCCGGCAGGTTACTTGTCTTGGCACCTTGTTATACACGCGCCACTCAGTGTCGCGCAGGTTCTTCAGTGACACCCGGTTGTATTATACCTGTTTTGCCTTACGCCTTTAGGAACTCCAGTCGTCGGATCACCCCGTTGTCGTTATCTAGTCAGCATAGTTATTCTCTTCATATTTATTCACGTCATATTTATCGTTTGTGTGTATATAGTTTTTCTTTATTGTTTTTCTTTCCTATTTTTTCCAGGTAATGTCGATTTTCGGTGCCCACAAAGCTAGGATCACTAAAGCCGCCAACGCAATCCGCAAGAAGATCGCGGAGTTTGACGAGGCCATCTTGGAGCCGTTGGATTTTACCATCGAGGCAGGTAGAGATCCACAGCTTGTTCTTAGTCGTAAAAGTTTGCTATTTTTTCATTTTACTTCCTTCGGTCGTACTGTTGATTCTCTTCGTGCCCAGCGAGAGAAGGCCGAGGAGTTTGCTCGGCAGCACCCTGACGAGAACGGCGAGTTCCCCCTCCTCCAGCAGATTCAGGACCATTGGGATACCAGTGGACTGGATGACCTTGTGGAGGAGGCCGAAACCCTCCGGGATCGTGTTGATGCTGCCATCAAACTTCTGCCGAGCTCGGAGGCATTATACTATTTTCGCACTTCCACTGTTCCTCCCTCTCTTGTTAATCCTACCCCCAACCCTACCCGAGACCCCATTTATCCCCAGCAGCTCGCGCCAGATGTAAGAATGGAAATCGCGAGCCATTCTTCATCGCACGATAGGGATCGTCCAGCTGATCCCGAGGCAGTCGTGCCAGCGCGTCCAGCACCCCCGCCAGCATGCGCGCCAAGTGTCGCGCAAGGATTCGACAACCCCTCCCATGACCCTTCGGCCCACCCAACTTTTGTGAATCCCCCTCCAGTTCATCAGTCGAATCCATTCAGTTCTTTTTTAGTTCCCAATGTCAATTCTTCCCCTTCTTCCGTGGAACAGACGTTGAAGTTGCCTACGTTTGAGATTCCGACCTTCCATGGCGATATCGACAATTTTCTGGAGTTCTGGGATCTCTTCTCGGTAGCCGTGCACAATAACATCAACGTGCCAGCATCGATGAAATTCATGTACCTCAAGTCACATTTGAGAGGACCAGCCGCGAGCATAATTGCCGGTTTTCAATCGACGGCAGAAAACTATGAGGATGCAGTACGTACCTTGACGAATACGTACGGTAGACCAGAGATCCTCCGTAATAGGCTGTGGGATAAGTTGATGCAATTGCCACCAGCATCAGACTCGCCGATGTCGCAACGCGCGACATATTGTACCGTCAAGGCTATATGGACCCAGCTTACACATCTTAAGGAGGACTCTAGTGCTATCGGTACTCTCAAGATTATTCGTGCTAAATTCCCGAGACGGACGCGCGAAAAGATCGGCGAATACAAGACCAAGGGAGACGCGATGTGGACAGTTGACGAGTTACTTTCGACGTTGGATACCATCATCGACAGATTGGAAACTATTGAGGATGCTGACTCATCAGAACATCTTGCGTATAACTCCCAGGCATCAGTCCGTCACGATTCTTCTTTGCCACGTAGGTATCCGAGCGTGAGCCGCACGGATTCAGCGTTTACGCGCTATCGTACGTCATCGTACTACCCCAGACGTCCGTCGGTATCGCGCACGCCATCACCCTACAGTAGGCATAACAGACCTCCAACCCCCTATTATCCTCGTAATGCGTCGCGCAGCCCTAGCAGACCACGCTATGCGATTTCTTACGAACCATACTGCGCCTTTTGCCGTGATCCTGGACATCCATCCGAACGATGCAACATCGTGCGAGACGTAGCACAACGCAGATCCATTCTTGTTCGTTACAGATTGTGTTGGTTGTGTCTACAGCGAGGTCACGGATACGCTCAGTGTGATGCGCCATTGTGTGAGTACTGCGGCAGGATACACCATAGAGCTCTCTGTTGGAATCCTCCGCGCGCACGTACGCCGCCACCTCCAGCGAATGGAAACACCAGGCGTAGTCTCGATAGGTTTTACTCTCCGAGACGTGTGCAATTTTACAGAGAGACTCAGGGATCAGTGCCGCGCGCATATCGAGGTTACTCGCGCGCATCGTCATCGCGTAACGCTTATCCTAAACCGCCATCACCATCCAGGCGACAACCTTCCACTTCACCAGCTAGACGTGCCTCTTCGGCACGCAGGTCGCGTAGTATTTCCGCAGTACACAGCGCCACCGGTACTCCTGATCAACCCGTAGCTAGCGTGGACGAGCAAGCAGAGCCCCTGGATCATCACCGAATTCGCGTAGGCTCTCACTCACCATCATCTTGTATATCTGTGTGTTCGCAGGAATCAGCGCAACCGCGCTTGATGGTAGTCCATACAGTTACGAAGAATTATAAGACGGATACGGATGAGTTGCTCACAGTCTTTTTAGACAGTGGCTCTCAATTCAGTTTCATTTGCACTTCGTTAGCCAAACATCTAGGCTTATCATTTCGTAACACCAGGACATTTACGACTCTGACGTTCGGCGGTCACCAATTCACGGAAGAATCGTCAGAGGTTACACTCATACTCTGGGACCAGTATAACTACCCGATCTATCTCGATCTATGGACGCGCGAGAGGATCACGACAGTCCCACGGACCAACACCCAGAACGACAAAGACATCGTCGATTTAGGAGACAGAGTGGAAGTCGATGTACTAATCGGGATAGACAATTATTGGCGTATTGTGGACCTGCACAGGAATGAGAAGTTACCATCTGGCCTCATACTGTCGCACACCAGATTTGGACCCGTCTTGTCTGGACAGAAGCATCCACTTGCCACCAACACCCTGTTAGCCACGAAGACTCCGCTCGATGATGACGAAGTTGCAACCCACCAGTTGATCAAGAGTCTTTTCGGCTTGGATCTGGTTGCAACGGAAGAGGAAGAGAACACAGAAGATGCTAATACCATCAAGCATTTCTACGATACCGTTAGGATTGTGGACGGCAACATCTATGTGTCCTTTCCATGGAAGTTAGATCATCCTCCGCTTGCCGACAACAAAGCTTTAGCCTTTCGCAGATTGCAGAATCAGTATGAGAAGTTCCGCGCTACACCATCAGTTTGGAACGACTACTTGAATGAGCAACTGAAGATGGGCATTATAGAGGATGTTACGCGCGTTGCCGCGCAAGGCCCTAACGTGTACTATATACCACACCAGGCAGTGTACAAGCAAGAGAGCGCGACTACTAGGCTACGGATTGTCCTTGACGCGTCGAGTCACCAGAAAGGAGTTCCCAGTCTAAATGACTGTCTCCATCAAGGACCTTCTCTTCTGCCGGATTTAGTTGGAACTCTGATGCGAAGTCGTTTCCATCCTTACATTGTCATTGCAGACGTCGAGAAGGCATTTCATCAGATCCACTTACATCAGGATCAGAGAGACTCAACCAGATTCCTCTGGTTGAAGGATGTGCACCAGCCACCTTCTTCAGAGAATCTACGTATAATGCGCTTCGCGCGTTTGCCGTTCGGCGTGAACGCATCACCGTTCCTACTTAGCATGTCGATCAGATACTTTCTTGAGCAAGATCCAGCCAATCGCCTTAAGGAGGAAATACTTGCCAATACTTACGTGGATAACGTTATAGTCGGAGCTAAGACCACCCAGGAATGTGTAGACAAGTGTAAGGAGTGCAAGGATATTTTCTCAAGGATGCACATGAACCTTCGAGAGTTTATGTCTAACAACCAGAGAGCGATGGCTTCGATTCCTCAAGATAGTTGCATGTTAGCACAAGGACAGTACGTTGGCTTACTAGGAGTCAGATGGAACCCTACGCTTGATACACTACACGTGCCACTCAACATCGCGCGTCAAGCAGTCACGAGTAAGAGAACCGCGCTACAAGTTTACGCGTCGACATTCGACCCGCTCGGACTATTGGCACCCTTGTTGATAAAAGCGAAAATGTTCATTCAGGACCTTTGGGAGCTCGGATATGGATGGGATGACAGCCTTACCGACGAAGATATCCAGAAATGGAACGCGATCGTGCAGGATATTAGCAGCTTTCAGCTAAGCGTACCGCGCTACATTGGTGATACTTTCGAGGATACATATGACCTGGTTGTATGTTCTGACGCGTCTAAACGCGTTTACGCTACTGCCATCTACATTTTGACGCGCCCTCGTCGCGGTACACCTCGATCTACTTTGCTTTTCGCCAAAGCAAAGTTGGCCCCTCCCGGTGCCATCACGATACCGCGCATGGAACTCTTAGCTTCCCATATGGCAGCTAAGACAGTACAGTTTTTGAGGGCCCAGCTGAAGGTCAGATTCTGTTCGATCAAGTTTCTAACCGACTCACAAATAGTCCTCTATTGGATTCACTCCCAGAGACCACTTAAGACCTATGTGGTTAATCGCGTCAAGTATATTCGTCGTGTGTTGGACGAGCTGGAAACAGAGAAGATTGCTACTGGATTCTACTATTTAGCCACGCAGACCAACCCAGCGGATTGTGCTACTAGAGGAGTGACAGCCTCGGAGCTCCAACACCACATTTGGTGGACAGGCCCTACCTTTTTTGCGACGCCTTTTTCACAGTGGCCATGCAAGTCCTTCCAGCCATCACAGCCCATACCACCAGGAGCAGAATCGGAAGAACTTCGCATACCTGAGACGGTCGTAAATTCGGTTAGTGGTACCCAGGAGGCGTATACGTCTTTTGTGCCGTTTACGCGCACCAACTCCTACGTGAAGCTAGTCCGTATAACAGCGTACATCCTTAAATACGTGACTAAATTGCGTCATAGAGTCAGGACGCGCAATCAGCGCGAGGACCAAGAAGAATGTTTTCCATTCAACACGATGAATATTACACCCACGATAACATCGGACGATTTTATGGCAGCTGAGCTCGTGCTCATACGAGAGCACTACCGTGAGAGCCAGCGCCAAATGAACGGTACGTATGTGAAGAAGCTCCACACTAAGCGCGAAACGGATGGTACTATAAGAGTTGATATGCGCATGGTTAACGCGCAGATGAGCGATACGAGTAAGAATCCTATTCTTATACTATCGTCTCACCCCCTCTGCGAGAAGTTAATCGCGCATTACCATCATCAGCTCTTTCACGCAGGACCGTCACATTTGTTATCTGCCTTACGTGAGAGATTCTTTATACCTAGGCTTAGACGTTTCATAAAATCGTATATTTCCAGGTGTGTCGTTTGCAGGAGATATCAAGGTCGCCTTTATACCTATCCGCGCGCTCCGGATTTACCCGCGGAAAGAGTGACGAGGAGTCGTCCATTTCAGCACATTGGATTAGACTATTTTGGACCGATTTCCGTGCGCTTGTTGAACTGCGATTGCCATAAGGTGTGGGTCTGTCTCGTTACGTGCATGTCGACTCGTGCGCTGCACTTGGAAGTGGTAAGAGACAACTCCACCTTTCAATTTTTACTAGCATTTAGGCGATTCATGGCGCGCAGAGGAACGCCGGATACTGTCACCAGCGATAACGCTCCGACGTTCAAATTAGGAGAGGAGGTCATCAACAATCAGCTGCCGGAAATCAGGGAAGACGCTGAGATGGACCAGTTTTTGACGAGCCATAGTATCCGTTGGACTTTCATCACTCCGTATTCACCTTGGAAGGGAGGATTCTATGAAAGACTAGTGGGATCAGTGAAGATCGCGCTGAAGAAGGCGGTACGGAACCAAGTCTTGGATATCTGGATCTTCGAAACACTCCTAGTTGAAATAGAGGCCATCCTGAACACTAGACCGCTCTTTCCAGTGAATTCGGTTAACCCGAATGCGAATGCGGTCATTCGACCAATCGATCTGATATCACCTAATTTCAAGATAGCACGACTCAGGGACACTTTACCACGAAGGATCGCGCATTCGACGAGCGATAGTTACCAGACGTTGAATACGCGCTATAGGATTTTGCAGAGCGATTTGGACTGTTTTTGGAACCTCTGGCAGCAAGAATACCTGAGAGCGTTAGCAGACAGAGAAGCTATACGCGCGAAATCCCGTCCTTCTGCAAAATCACCGCGAGTTGGCGAAGTCGTACTTGTGAAACAGGACGCGCCGAGATCCAGCTGGCCGTTAGGACTTATCTTGGAACTTCACACCTCACCAGACGGCAATGTAAGATCGGCCAAAATTAGAACAGGCAGAAGAAAAGTAGTCGACCGCGCAGTAAATCACTTGTTGCCATTGGAGATAATCGCGGAAGACGAAGAAGTTGTGGAGCGTAGTGGTAACAGCCGCGCGAAGGCGCAGCAACAACACCGTGGATTGTCTAGGAAGTGATCACGACAGGGCAGTTTTCCCCTATGTAAGTAATTTAGTCATTTTTCTAAGTTTCTCCTATTTTTCCAGTTAACCTATCTTCTCTTCTTCTTATCTAACTCGTTTTCCGTATGATTGAGCGCTGCTCGCGCGATCAAGCACCTTTTTTTCCGTCTAACTCTACCTTTAGCACGTGTCGGTCCCGGTGCGAAATACTGTTATACGATAGGACGCGACTGCGAGTATCGAGTGGTCGGATAGAGTTGCGAAATACCATTGATCGCCTGCTTGTCATCCATTTTTAGATTTAACTTGAGAGCAGCCGCGCTCGTACCTTTTTTACTCCATTAGTATAGTATTCTTTCTTGTTGTAGTAGTTTTTGTAACTCTCACCCCCTTTTTTTCGCGCTGTCTTGTATTTTTGTGCTCCTAGCATTCACTCAGTGTTGTTATTTAGAGCTCTATACGTTCTGTACGCGATTGTCTCCACTGTCAATAAATCTATCTGTCACCAGTCGACTATTGTGGATCGAGGATAAAGAGGGAACAACACAAGTAAGAAGACTATTTTCTTTGTTTTTTTTCCCCTTGTTGCATAGGGCTCCCTCGGCTGTGCACGCCGAAAATTTTGCGCCCTCTCCAAAATAACAGTGCACATAACCCTTCATTCATCATTTTCTTTGTTGTAGTTAGCCGCGCTTCTTTCTTCTGTTGAGCCCTCATATTGTTATTTACCCCATATCAAGCGCACCTTTTTCCAGCTGTGCGGACTCTCAACTTTCGTATTTGGCAACATCATGCAGCAGTCTTCGTCGTCGCTGTCGCGCACAGTTAGCCCAGACGCGCAATCCCTTGACGCAGCAGCATCAGCGCCTAGTACATCGCGCGCGAGATCACAAGGCCCGGCTTCAGTAGACGACGCTATTAGGAAACTGGCAGGCATAGAAGCGAGACGCCGCGTCGCGCATATGAGTAACGAGCTGGAATGCAGGCAGATACTTGCAGCGATTGAGCGACAGCAGCAGCGTTTACGCGCGCGCATCGCTAGTAATGACCCAGACGCACCTCTTTTGCCTAACCCAGCACCTGATAGGATGGCGCCTACACTACCGCTTCTGCAGGACTCTACAGACGCGCTGCCGCATACGGTAGAAGAGCTTACAGCCGCGCAGCTCCGCAGGGTCTACCAGTTTCTTATTAGGTCGGGCACGCCGCTAGCGCCAGTACAGCAGGAAGTTCAGCAGGCCGCGCTTTTAACACCTGAGCAGCAATATCAGGCCGCGCAAGTAGTATTTCACACGCGCCAGCTAACGGATGTGCTAGATAGCGCTAATAACGTTTTTATGAACGCGCAAGTTTTACTGCTGCGCAAGGACAAGATGAATCTGAGGTATGTCGCGCTGATGGGCCATATACACATCGTGCAGCACATCAGCACTGGAATCGCAGTCCACCGCGATCTTATCTTGGAGTATTTACTGCCACCTCTGTTCGCGCGCTCGCAAGTCTTTTTAGATGCTTTGGCCGCGCTAGGATGTACCGAAACCATTATCACGGAGAAGACCATGGCCGCGTCAGCAGCGATAGCTCATGCCACCCGCTTGACGCGCACATTGGAAGCCCTTCAGATGAACTGTGTCATCTCGCGCCGAGGATTGAGTTTTACAGAGCAAGATCAAGAGTACCGCAGACTTGCCGCGCCGGCCGATCCGGGACCACCACCCTTGCAGCCGCGCACCTATACTCAAGCTCTGCGGATGTGGCAAGAGAGTTATGATGAGATGCTCCACAGTTCTCTGACTCACGAATTCCTTGACATGATCGAGCGAGAAGGTCTTACGGTACAGTCCGATGAAGAGCAACCACAAGAGAGCCCAGAGAGTGAGCAGTCCTCGACTATAACCGTTTCTTCAGTCGCGCGAGACATCAGCGCTATATCGTCACCCGAAATTAGGAATTTGGAGAAAGAAGAAGTCCTGCCGGAAGATCAAGGACAGACAGTGTCGCTTCAGCCGCCGGACGCGCAACAGGAAGAACCATCGCAGACATACCCGACACCCCAATCAGCCCCAGAAGAAGAACAGCAGCACCCAGGTCCTTCGATTCCACCGGAACATCGCCTTGAGCACATTCTCGACGCCGTGCTGGAGGCTGGGCAGGAGCCCAATCAGCCAGTGCAGCAAGCCGCGCAGCCAGTGAGGTTCGAAGGAAGATTTAGGCGCGAACATCGGCCGTGCGTTTTTTGTGAAGGGACGCGACACTTCAGCGCGGAGTGCAACGTGGTCAAGGACATGATAGAGAGAGTGCGTATCGCGCAGCAGAAGGGGATCTGTCCTAAGTGTCTTGCGGTGCATTATGGGAGCTGTTTTAAGGAATTTCACTGTAAGAACTGTGGTGGGGCGCGCCATCACCGCGCGTTTTGCATGCGTAACTCGGGTATAGATAAGAGCAATGTGCACATGCCGGCGGCCGCGTTTTATTCCTGGCTTGAAGAGTTAACCTACAACCCGATACCATCTGGGGAATTCCAGCCGCGCGCTAGAACACCGTCGCCTCAGCGTGGCGCGCGTGAGTAGACCTTGAGGGCGAGCTAGTGCGTGACAGTAACCTGGAAGGAGACGAGAGAACGGTTAGTGTGATTCGAGTATTTTTTATTGTTCTGACGCCATAAACCACTTTCGTTTCAGTAATATCTGGCCGTATGCAATGAGTTGACATGCGTGGAGATGTATGGTACGCACTTGATACGCGTATAGTCATCTGGTTGGAAACATATGTGTGAATGGTTGATGCGGTGGTCGCGCGTCACTGTTGTGGTTGCGGTCATGTGGTTCGATGTGGAATGGTTGTCAGTGGTCACGTATCTAGCTGCTTAGTGATAAGCCCTCTACATACATTTATTCATATTTAACCACCTGTATATATTTTTGATCTTGTTTAATCTCAGTTAACCGCATTTAGCCATTTACTTACCCATGTATATTATTTAGCGTTTGAGTTACTTTGTTACGTTTTACTCAGTTTTGCATCAGCACGGGCCGAGTTTCTCATATTCTTTTTGTCGCGCGCCCCTACTGTGCTGCCGATGGTAATATTTATTTTTGGTCATACTCGGTTAGGTGCTCTCCGTTGTGGACTCCAGCGTTATCACGTAACCACCTTCCGAACGTCCAAGTCCACTGTTTCGGGGGGGAGTGTCGCGGCTCGCGCGATGCAAGCCACTCCTCGAAACAGGAGACCGGGAGCGCTGGCTGTCGCGTTACTTGGCGCGTTATCAAGATCGCGCCAAGACCTCTCCTGCTGGGCGCGTTGCCAAGTCTCAGGGTATATAAGGGCGCGTGGGCTGCGGTCTGCGCCTCCTTGAGCTTCGTTCGTTATCGATTTTTTGATGATATCAACCCGCTGGCAGCGCCTCCAGTAGTTCCCGCAGATGATCAACGGTTTCGAGCGGTTGAGCCCTTTGATATTCTTCTTGTGCATGGAGACGCGCAGCTAGGATTGTAGTCTAACCAGCAGCGGAAAGGATTGCGGGAGTGGAGAGGGGTCTCGCTGTCCCGTAAGGGCTAAGGACTTGCGGCTGACCCTTCGGAGAACCCGGAACTACTCGTGTTGGAGTTGATCTTCATCAGGCATCGGCAGCACGGGACGAGGCGGCTCGTCCCGTGCGTATTCTTCTTGTCCTGGAGTAGTAGTAGTAGTCTGAGTAGGGTTTAGTGAATTTTTAGTAGTTTTAGTATTTTTTGTTGTTCTATTAGTTGTTGTTATCTTGTGTAGTTTTAGATAAATGTGATGTAATCTAGTCGTGCGTGTGATGTTCGTGTCGTACGGGTCAGAGGGGTGTAGACGTCGAGCAGACGTGCTAGAGTGCGCGCACTAGCGCCGAAGCGGTAGATCCTGGAGTCAGGAGTTGCGGAGTCAGGCGGACGAGCACTGGGCGAAGTGCTGAGCACACCGAGCCGCAACAGACCTTGTCTTTGAGGACTTTAAAAGCCAACTCCTGTCGGGCTCCGGATACCGGCAATAAATAACATTCCTAATGCTAAGCTCTGAACCTAACACGATCGAGCGTACATTTAAATGGCCTATTCCCTAAATTGCAGATGCATCAATTTTATGCAAATGAAGCTTCTAGGCTAGGCATCACCCATATTCAAATAAATTTACGAAGCATTTGGACATACAGCCAACCCACGACCCACATCGGACCCGCTGCGCCATTCTACGAAGATATGTATTGATGTTCCTATTCATCTTCATTGCAGGGTGATTTAACATGAAGGAAACGAAGACGAATTAAACTCTCATGCATTCAATCAAGTGTCCCCTTTATCATGACCACGATTATCTTCTCGGCCTAGGCCGCCTCTCCAAACGACATCGATGCTTTTTTCCTCTCTATTGTTTGTTTAGACCCCCTTGAACGAGCAATTCCAAGAAGCAAACGCCTACGATGCATTTATTCCGCAATATAAATAAACGTCCCTGGAAATTTTTAGGCAGTGTGGAAAGTTCAAAAAGAAAAAGACAAATTTGGGTTACCCGAGCAATCATATATTCTCTGACGGGAAGAACGATTGTGAGAGTGGCAATTTTCAGAACAAGAAAATGTGTTCCGTCAAGGCTTGAAGAGCGAATGTGCTTCTATCAAGTAAATTATCCATTCACAGAATAGATGAGGAAAGTTGAATAAGATAAGATCCTCATAAATCATCAATAAGCTTTCCATGATTCAGTTTCATTCTCGACAGTTATTTTCAGCAATAAAAAAGTAAGTCAGGAATTTTCAGAACGAATCATGGCTAAAAATAGGAAGTCCAGACAAATATATTATAAGGAAAGTGTAAAACAAAAATGAATAGAAGTACAACAAATGCATCATTTGGTTCTTTCCCTCAATGAGACTTGCCCCAGTTGAATCTTCTCCTCTTCAATTCACTAAGGAAGAAATACCTAACAAATCTTTGCAATAAGTGTAGAATGTACACCAAAATCACTGGGATAAAAGAGATCGAATAGATAGG